ACAGCGTTATTGGAGTCCTTACAGGAAAGGCTGCTCTTGAACAGATCATAACAGTTCAATTTTACAGTCCATTGAGGAGTTTAGCCAACATTGGCTTTGCACTCGTGGTGTATCTTTTGGTCCCTCTGGCCTGGGAGTACTGGAGCGAGTTCCTCAGCTGCCGACCGTGCAGATCTCCCCGCGTCGGAGGAAGCCAGCCACAGAAGCGGGGCGACTGTCTAACCTTTTTCGCAAGTTCAGGCAAAGATTGTGTCTGCGGTCAGAAAGAGATTCAAGTTCCAAAGTTCTCAAGGCTTCCGGGTATGAAGTGCACTGCCGGCCCAACACAATCCTGCAATCACGTTTCTGTAGGGCCATCCGAGGCAGACAGGTCTTCCCAAGGGTTTCCAGGAATGTGGGCATAGATGTGGGTCAGAGAAATGCCTGTGGACATTCCATGCCTATGGACAAAATTCTTGTACCATTCCTAGAATTCTTGCAAACTGCACACAATACTGTACTATTAGGCTCCTCCCTGAGACGTCGCCAAAAAAGAGACGGACAGCTGCCATTCATGCTTAAAGATTCAGAGATAGATCTCAACAACTAGAACTATATAGCAATGCTATATGGTTCAAACTTTTTTCACTGTGCTGAAGGACTAAGAAATCTGAGTCTTATTCAAACAGACAGACAGGAGGTTAAGAAGTTCTTAGATTTTATTTACCGGGAAAATGTAAATCAAACTCTTTACTATCAGTAAGTCCATTGCGTTGAAGCTCAGAGATAAGCAAATCAACAATCTACATCAACAATAGAACATTTTAAAAGTTACAAGTACACCTGGAGTTTATAACTTGGTATTAAGAATAAATCATGTACTGCACATGTAACACGGATATCTTGTGATCTGGTTGTACATGTAGTATTTAAACGGATGACACATTAAAAGTTGTAGATTAAGTTGTCAAGACACATCAACAACTTGCAAATCTAAGACAAATGAAGCGTTAACCAAGAAATTAAATTGGTGTGGCCTTAAGAAGCGGAAAGCAAATCAGAAGATTTTCAAATCGATAAAGCACTCTATTAGATTTTGGTACAACTTGTAAGAACTTACACAACAAAACATAAACATCGACACCTCAGACCTACAAGTAACCACATCTACTGATATGCTGCCTAACAAGACATTGCAAAAACAAAAACAATTAAAAAAACAAGGAAATACCTGTTAACTTAAAATTGTATTTTTTTACAGAATAATTACAGAATAATTCAAATCATAACAAATCCTTGATCATAACAATAATCATAACAAATAATCACAACAATAATTCAAATCATAACAAATCATTGATCATAACATTTGTCATAACAATAATTTAAATCACAACAAATCCTTGATTATAACAGTTGTCATAACGATAGTTCAAATTATAACAGCTCATTGATCAAAACCATTGACATAACAATAGTAAATTGCTAAAATGCTAACTTAAAAATGTTCAAGTGAACACTGATGTGCTGTTTTATGTCTTTAAGAGACTTACAATTATCCACAGAGAGACTCAGGGATAGCAGATGAGTTTTCCCAGGGTGTGATAGCCTTCTTCATCTTCAGGAAGAACACCGGTATCCCCGGTATCCCCAAACCTAAGCTGGGTGACCGGCAGGTCATTCTTGTGGGACAGGAATCCAGAATCCTCACGCCATGTGTAATCATTGGCATCACAGTTGCATCTACCCCGGCATGTGCCTGTTGGACAAAGGATTAAGGTCATGCAGAGGTTTTGTTTATGTTATGGGTTTAAAATATGTGGGTTAAAAGAAAAAAATGTATCTCCACATTCTATTATTTCTCAATTAATCATGTAAAAACTATCTAGCATTTGACAGAGAGAAACAAAACATTTAATAAGGTGTGTATATATATATATAAGGTGTATATCTATATTTGTACTTCTCACAAATCATGCGTAGGTTGAAGATTTGCTCTGCACAAGACCTTCCCTTCCTAAATCCAGCCTGTTCTTCTGCGAGGATTTGTTCAGCTTGTGGTTGAAGGCGGTTCAAGATGACCTTTAAAAGGATTTTACTTGGGTGCGATATCAAACTGATGGTGCGGTAATTCTGACACTTCTTAAGATCTCCTTTCTTAGGGAGTGGCATGACAATTGAGGTTGTCCATTCTTCTGGCCATACTCCAGTTCTAAAAACATAGTTACAGATTCTTGTGTATACCTTAACAACTGGCTCCCCTCCTGCTGTCAGTAACTCTGCGGGTATGTTGTCAATGCCAGGTGACTTCCCTAGTTTTAAGGCTTTAATGGCTGCAGCTACTTCAGATTCAAGTATGTCAGGTTCATCTTCGTCTCGGCGTTGGCAGGTGTGAGACTTAAGTTCTTCTAGTACTTCCTGTTCTGCTGTCAGCTGGTAGTTGTACAGTTCATAACAATACTCCTTCCAACGTCTTGATACATCTGACTTTGTGGTTAGCAGGTTACCGTCAGAGTCTTCGATGCAGGTGTTCCTGTTTGTCTTTTGTTGGGTTAGTGTCTTAACCGTGTGGTACGCCTGCTTTGTGTTGTTATTCCTTATCCCCTCTTCGATCTTGTTGCACTGCTGATGTATCCATTTTTCCTTTGCAGCTCTACCTACCTACCTACCTAGTCCCATGACCGACACTGGTCGTCGGGGGGACAAGGCAGACTTTGCAGCAGGAATATAGCCAGGTCCTCCTGTCTTGGGCTGCTGTCAGGAGTTGTGGGACAGTGAGGGACGTCCAGTCCTTGATGTTATCCAACAATAGAACATTTTAAAAGTTACAAGTACCGCACTTCTGGAGCACTTCTGCTGTTATCCATGGCTTCTTTGTCCGCCGTGCTTTCCCCAGTACAGTTTTTGCCGCTGCTTTCAGATGTGTTGCTGCCTCTGTTGCAAGATTGTTTTCTGCAACGTTGTCGGTAAGTAGGGGTGCAAATCTGCCTCCAATTTCAGCCTGAAATGCAGCAAGGATACTTGGATCCTTGAGTTTCTCTATGTCGTATTGCACTCTTGCATTTTCCCTTTTACGTGGAGCCTTTAGACGGACTGCTAATGTTGTCATTACCAGGTCATGATCACTCCCAATGTCAGCGCCTGGAAAAGTGCGTGTTTTTGCTAGGTTCAGGCTGGTCAGATGTCTTTTAGCTATGAGGATATAGTCTATCATGTTGTGGGTCATCCCATCTGGTGAGTGCCAAGTTGCCTTTCTGCTGGGCTTGTGATATGCGAAGGTGTTTGCTACGGCTAGGCTGTGGTACCTAGCGAATTCTAATAGGCGAAGGCCGTTATCGTTCGTTTTACCCAGACAGTGTTTGCCCACAGTGCCTGCCCAGTCCTTGTAAGCATCTGTCCCTACTTTTGCGTTAAAATCTCCTTGGAGTATGGTTATGATTGTGAGCATGATTTTTGAGAAGTACAGGGAACTGGGAAGATCAGTGTACCATACATTTGTAGACTACAAAAAATGCTTTGATAGGATATGGCAAGATGGACTGTGGGCAGTAATGCGTCGCTTCAACATCAGCCGGGGAATCATCAACTCAATCGAAGCATTATACAAGGGGTCACAAAGCACAGTGATGACAGATGACGAATTCAGCGAGTGTTTCCCTACCTCAGTGGGAGTCCGTCAGGGCTGTCTCTTGTCACCAACACTTTGTAACATCTTCTTGGAGAACATCATGAGAGAGGCTCTGTCACCTCTGGAGTCACCGGTTAAACTTGCAGGACGTATCATAAACCACCTTCAGTTTGCCGATGACGTGGATTTGCTTGACGGCTCAAAACGAGACCAACAAGCCCACTTCAGCAGCCTGGACTCTACCAGTAGGAGATACGGCATGGAAGTCAGTCTCGAGAAGACCAAGTGCTTAGTGACTGGCCCTCCAGACACAGTACAGGTGACAGTGAGAGGCACTGACCTTGAACAAGTTAAAGAATTCAGCTACCTAGGTTCCCTACAGACAGCGGACTGCAGCTCTAGTAGAGAGGTTAAGATTAGGATTGCCAAGTCTACCTCAGTATTGGGGAAACTCAAG